TACATTATATGTTGCTTCAAGAGACATACACTGAAGTTAAAGAATAGAGAAAATTGAAATAAAAGGATGGAAAAATATATAAACTCTAAGAATAACCTGGTATAATTATATGAACATCAGAAAAAATAGACTTTAAGTCAAGAATCACCAACAGAGATAAAGAGGACACTCTAAAATGATAAAAGGGTCAAGTAGAAAGGCAGAGTGATTGTAAATCTATATGATCCAATAACATAAATTCAGATTGAACTATAAATGCAATATTGAACTATAAAGATAGGTAGTCAACACACATAGTTGAGGTTTTAACATACTTCTTTCAATAACTGACATAATAAGCAGAAAAGAAATGTCAGAAAAGATAGAGAAGATCTGAACCATATATTAACACACTTGATATAACTGACATATACGTGACATTGTACCTACAAGTTCGAACATACTCTTTTGAAGAGACCCATGGAGGATATGCCAAAATTGACCAATACTGGTCATAAAGCAAGGCCCAACAAATTTCAAAAGCATTGAAGGCATTCAGAATATGTTCTCTGATCACAGCAGAGTTAAACTAGAAATCAATAACAAAAGGTTAACATGGAAATCCATAAACATGATGTTTTTCTGGGAAGAGGCTTAAAACAAACAAACGCAAACCCATGCATATATTCATGCAAAATATTCTAAATAACCATAATAAAGAGCTTAAAGTCAACTTTTCTCACTGGAGGTCAGGTAAGATTGGATTTGATCCCAAATGTGTTATGGAAAACATTTTGGGAGAGAGGAGGCAAGATGGCTGACTGGAGACATCGGTCACCAGATTGTCTCAGAAAGAAGGAAAAGTGTTGAGTTACAAAAACATAGCACAGGTGTAATTTGGAGGGAAGAGTGCCAGAAACTACCAGAGATTCCATGGGAGAAGCTGCGGAGCAGAATAAGAAGATAATGTAAGGTTTCAGCAGAGACCAGCCTCTGAGGAATCTGTAACTCCGTGGGAGGGCAGGTGGTGGGTGTTAGTTTTTCCTCCTGCACAACTCTGCAAAGTATACGCTCCCAAGCTGCTAGAGACATTCTCTACCCTCCTGAGCCAAAAGTTGCTGCCACCAGTGAACTGGGAGCTTCTTAAGAACAGGGCACCGGGCGCCAGCCCCTGAGGTTGCTCCCCTCGCCACAGACCCAAGCCAAGGCGGCAGGCACCATGCTGCCTCTCCACCATCCTGCACCTTCATCCCCCGGCAGCTTCAGACCTTCAGTTTTCTTGTCACTTGCCTCATGCAAACATTTCCAACTCCTGCCAAGACTGTGGTAGCCACAGGGGACCTGTGTGATCCAGAGTTTGGACATTCAGGGGAGGCTACCTTCAGGGGAGAGGAGAGTGCAGCAATCAGGGGGTTCCTTGGGACAAAGGGACCAGAGGTGGACAGCCTTTCTCCAGCAGACTTTCTCCTCCTTTCCTCCCCTGCCACAGCTGCCAGCACAGCAGTGGCAATTCCCACATGAGTTGGCATGGGTGCCCGAAGGGAGACTTGAGCTGGAGCTCTCAGAAGCGGCTGCTTCCCCTCTGTTGGTGCACCTGCCACACCGAGGCTTCCACGGAGAGCAGAGCTCCATGGCCTTTCCTCTTAAGACCTGCAGTGCACCACGGGTTCTCGAGCTGTGAGCTTCCCTCCCTGCCTGCCTCCTCGTGCGGCCGCCTGGCTGCTCAGTAGAGCAGAGTCTATTCCAAATGGAGGGACATTAAACCTGCTGAGCACTATATGGGCAACTTGGGATAGCATGCTTCTCTCTGGCACAGTCAGGGAGTAAATTGGGGACAGAGGACACGTCTGCTGGCCAGATCCCATACCCCAGGATCAATTGTGTTGCTGGGGTGGGGGCACGGAGGGAGATTTGTGAACTAATCTTAGAAGGCAAGGGAACCACACAGGTGAAAATAAAGGCAACGCAGTTGGGTCTGAGCTGCAGTGCACTTGCGGAGACCCCTCACAGGAAGCGCTTCTGATCTGGGGCAGGATGCTGGGCAGGAAGCTTCCAGCCTGTGATAGCACTGCTGGGGAGCTCTGCCGCTCGGGCTGCTGCGTGTGGCCAGATGCCAGGAAGGAGACCTGCAGAGCAGGGAGTGGAAGAAGGCGAAACCACTCGTGACAGCTAGTCTGTGAATCCATACTGCTCCTCCCCACAAGCAGACTTTCTGCCTTGTGGTGGGCTACTTCAGCCCTCCTCGGTGGCTTTCCACAGTGGCTGGCAGCTGACCCTTGAACCTCTGCTGGAACAGCTCTTGTGCCTGCCTTTGGTGGAGCCTGACACAGGCTCATCAGACCCAGACCGCCTAGCCTCGCTACTCACCTACTCTCGCTGTGGTGGAGAATGAGTTCTCTTGGGGTCCACGGCCCACCCCCTGCCAGGGCATTGGAGTGTTTCTCCTGACTAACTACAGCTGGTCACAGGTCCAAAAAGCATCACTACAACTGGCTTTTTCCAGCAATCCTCACTTACTGACAGGAGGCAACCTGTATATGTTAGTATCTACTGACTCAATCATACGGGGTGTGGCTGACTCTTACCACAAACATCATACCTTCGACATTTCTGAGATCCCAATACCATTCATGCTGTTAAGAAGACCACAGGGCTGGGAATGAGAAAGGATTTCAAAGACCTCCATCTCCCTAGTCCACAAGAGAAGAAAATCTGCCACGCATGTAGTACAGCATTACTACAGCCTCAAATAACTAGAAATTGAGAAAACCAGTACTAAGAATATCTAAACAATCCATCTATCCAGAACAGTTTAACATAGGATGTGCCTTCACAAATGTAGGTGCAGACCAAGAAGAAAAGAAAGGGTCAGCAAAGAGAAGAACCAAGAAGATGAGGACAGAGGAAAGAGAAACCCCTACGATGATGAACAAGTTAATATCAGGATAACAGCACGTGTCCTGAACAAGATTCGGCAGATGGTGCAGCGGATCAATCAATGAAATACCTAGATGGGTCTGGACTATGAGAAGAATTTAAGACCCTGGAGGAATTTGGAGATGAAGTACATAGAAAATATAGTATATAGAGAGTAAGCAAATAAATAATAAAAAGCAATTAGTTTGTAGAAATATTTGTGCAAGAAAGACCAAAGATAATCATTTAGTCATACTACATGCGTCAGCTGTGATGAATTTCCATGGTCATAAGAATGTAGCCTGGATATATCTAAACAAGTGTACAACTAACTGGGGAGACGAAGAGGCCCGGGATGTGTGGATTCCGGACGTGTGATTGTGGTGGGAGTAGTGGTCGGTGTAGAGTGAGAGAGACTACATTCCTCCTTATACAGTGGGCATCAGTTAGCATGAAACAGTGGGCTAACTATGTTTTATTAGGACAGGAAACATCAAAAAGATTTAATAAGTTAAGATGATCTATCTAGGGAGTAGAATATAGTCTGGGAGGGGTGTGCGGTGGGGCAGAAAACTCTTTTATATTTTTTCTTGTCAAATTATTTTTATTTTTGCCTTGTAAATGATTTGGCTTTTTAATACATGCATGCTTAACTGTAAAAACTAACTATTGAGACCACAGGACAGTGATAGGGATTGAGCTTTTCCCTCATGCGCATTTGACAAGATTCTTACAACGGCTTCTCGGGTCTCGAGGAATGTTCCAGGTTTGCCCGTGATATAAGTTAGAAGAGAACCATAGGTCCTTCCATGTGTCCGCATTGCGCAGGCCTTATGGAAGTATTCGCCAGCTAGTCTAGTAAAGAGGAGATGAATAAACATCGAGTTTCCTGACTGGGCTGGTTTCACAGGCGATGAGTGGTGGAGATTAAGCCTGACATGTACGGCTTGTACTTTGATAGCTTTAAACCGACAAAACGAAAAAACCAGTTGTGGGAAGCGACGTTCCAGAAAGGCATTCGGGGGAAATAGAATAACTTTTAAATATATTTGATACTCACTCTAGCCTGTGCAACAAAGCGAGACTCTGTCTCAAAAAAAAAAAAAAACCTATATGGGACAAATAGGAAATAAATAGTAAACTGGTAGATTTAAAACCAAACATATCCATAATTACATTAAATTTAAATGGACTAAGGATACCAATTAAAAAACTAAAATTGTCAAACTGAATAAAAATATACAAAATTTAATTATATGTTGCTTACAAGAGACATACACTGAAGTTAAAGAATAGAGAAACATTGAAAATAAAAGGATGGAAAAATATATAAACTCTAAGAATAAAACCTGGTATAATTATATGAACATCAGAAAAAATAGACTTTAAGTCAAGAATCACCAACAGAGATAAAGAGGACACTCTAAAATGATAAAAGGGTCAAGTAGAAAGGCAGAGTGATTGTAAATCTATATGATCCAATAACATAAATTCAAGATTGAACTATAAATGCAATATTGAACTATAAAGATAGGTAAGTCAACACACATAGTTGGAGGTTTTAACATACTTCTTTCAATAACTGACATAATAAGCAGAAAAGAAATGT